TTGTGTCTCCAAGCAGTCCACATACTGTTATAACAGAACTTTAGTAAAAGTCTTATTTCACCTGTTGTACAGGACAATTATTTTTTTTTTTTTTAAGTCCAGTAAAAATACTGAAGCAACTCATTTTCTGATATATTCTGATAAATAATATTGATGAACTAGTATTGTAAAATCCATGCAGAAGTAGAATAGTGATACAAAAAGCAAAAGTAAGCAATGATAATAAAAAGGTGTTTTCTACAACAACTTGTGAATAAGTGTGCATAGTGGGTTTTTTTCCTCCACTGCTTGCACCCTGTGTATTCATTCTATATTGGTACTGAAAGGTTTGTTTGGGGTTTTTTTCCAAAGGACTGAGAATCAAATCCACAGGATATCATAGAATCGTAGAATGCCTGGGTTGGAAAGGACCTTAGAGATAATATAGTTCCAACCCCCTTGTTGTGGACAGGGTCACCTTTCATTAGACCAGGTTGCTCAGAGCTCCATCCAACTTGTCCTTAAACACTTCCAGGGATGGGGGCATCCACAACTTCTCTGGGCAACCTGTTCCGTGCCTCACCACCCTCACAGTAAAGAATTTCTTCCTAATAGCTAATCTAAACCTACTCTCTTTCAGTGTAAGTCCATTCCCCCTTGTCCTGTCACTTGTCCTGTCTTGTAAAAAGTCCCTCTTCATCTTTCTTGTACTCCCTTCAATATGCAGTTACCTAACTCATCTGGACATCAAGAGGACCTTGTTAAAAGAAAACTTTCATGTATGTTGGCCTACAGGCCCACAGTTTGCATCTCAGAGGCCCTCTCACATTTGAGCTGCTGTACTGCAGGATGTGGAAAGGTATCACAGGTTCTGCCTTTGCTTGAGTGCTAATAATCGTACAGAAGCGTCACTATGGCTTAGATTCAAATCTGTGGGCGAAATCAGTCTCTGATATAACTATTCATCTCAGTGAAATTGCAGCAGGGTTGATTGTAATTAGCATGACTGGTAAACGTAAAGTACCTTAATTTTTAGACTGCAGTCACATAGGCTCATGCACTTACACTTATTTTTATTCAAATAAGACATTTGGTAGAAATTCAGTATTACACATATACATGATTTCTGAGTTTCATACAATTTGTTCAGAAACCTTGCAATATGACATTGTTCTTTTTAGCAGTTTCCTTCTACTTTGTTTTCTTGTACTATGCAATATTAGATGGCACTTGTCAGCCTTTTTTATTTTCCCTCAATATTGTGCTTTCTAAAAGTGTCTTCTATTTCCTCCCATGGCTAACACCTGTGGGACTTTCATCTACTCCAGTAGTAAGCAGGAACCCGAAGAAACTTACGCCAAGAAGCAACAGTTTAAAATTGCAGTCCTGATATAACAATCGTTTCTATATTATATATAGAACATACATGGCTCCCCATTGTGATGCAAGGTCCCTACCAACTAAAATATGGAGAAGATGAATACTCAGAGATAAGATTCAAGATAACTTATAGAAACTGATCTGGTTTAGAATGTTGTACAATATATACTAGTTATCACCGTTTTAACCTTCGTAGCCCTTTGCCTCTAAAGTCAAAGCATTTAGGGTCTTTTACACCAACTATTCACATTTCAGGATCTGAGACATTCAAAACAGCTCTTGGCACAACTCAGAATAGCTTCTGCTTCTTTATTTTTTTTCTGCGCAGTCACCTTGTAGTTTTAAAGTCTGATGTCTTGGGATCTCATGAAGCTCATGAAGCAAGTGCTGTGTGAGAGATATCATCTTCTCTGACAGCACAACATTCCTATTTCCACTCCTGAAGAGATGAGGTCTTGATATGTCTGATGCTCTTCTTTTCTCTCTTCTTTGGGTCAGCAGGTAGAAGCCGTCTGTGTTCAACATTTGGAATGAAGGAACAAAACATTGCCTATCTGTCTGCAGCTTCTAAAATAGCTGTGGGAAGATGCTCTCTTAGAGCTTTGGAATATTATGCTCATTGCTAAAGAAGGTGGAGTAGTGGGAGAACAAATATACTGTGGGCAATAAACTGTAATAAGTGCAACTTATTTCATGAGTACTATGATTGCATTTATGATATGTATAGAGTCAGTGTGTGCATACAGAATTGTCTTTGTATCTTTATATTATTAGATTTCTGTAGTACTCACAACTAGCAGTGAGCAGGCTATCTAATTCATTGAAATAATGTACATTTTTTCCTTTAAATGCTGGAAATAGACCTTTCTTTCTCAAGAAGGGGAGATGATTTAACTGAAACAGTTACAGCTGGTTTGAGTTCATAATAAGTAGCTTAAGGATATATTTTGTTCAATTTTCCTAAGAAATTTATATTACTGTGAAAAAAAAGAATGTTTTCAGTTTGTCATTTTAGTCTAGTGGCAAAATACTAAATATTTTAAGGTGTAGACTGTATTTTCAGCCACTTGACCTTTGGGCTGTAATGACTTAATTCCTCCACACCTGCCTACTTCTCCAGGGACTGAGCATATGTCTGTAACACCACCAGTTTGTAGCAATTTAAAAAGCTGGTGCTTGCAAGTTAAGGTGCTGTGGCCCATGCACATGTTCCTGGCTTAACCCCAAAGTGAGATCAAGTGCCTCCAGCTAAACTAATAGGTTTAGGTTGCCATTGTGGCGACTCCAGAGAAACTATGCTGCCAATAGTATGTCAGGAGTGCTAACTTAGTAAGTCACTGTAACTCAGTTGTGTGTAATCACATGCCCAAAACCAGGTGTCCCTGCTCCACATCTGCACGATTGTATAACTTCAAAGTATTTCACAAATACTTTTTGCCTCCTCTATAATTTTGCATTTGTACTGACCAGGTACTGAACACTAGCACTGGGATTTGGCAGCACTTTTCCTAGATGTCAATGGATGCACTGGGTTCTCTTATCTATAGAATTAATTCTCCATGTCAGACTGTAGAGAATCAGTCAGTCTTAGCCTCCCATGAATTAAGCATAGGCCTCAGCCTTACGATTGTGTGGCTGAAGTTTGGTAAATCATTGCACATGTGCTGAGCTGCTGTAACTATGCTCACACAGGCACACAGCAAACACAAGAGAATGTGACTTAGCTTATGTCTTCTTCTCCGAGCTAAACTAAAATGATCTCATATTTGCTCAACTAGGAGCACATCATCATTTTCTGTGGGATCACTGGATAAACAGTGTCACAGGAATCAATTCAGACTTAAATCAAGAGTATTAGCTTTTAAATCCTTGTGATTAAGAATAATTCTAGCAGCATTTTGCAAGAACGAGGAAGTATGTACTGGAGTCCTGTGGGTGGAGTTACTTTCTTTTTAAATTTCTTTTGCATTATCAACTGAGTATATTTTCTAGTTTTATGCCTGTTCCAAGCTTCTGGATAAAATTTATGTGTAATGATGAACAGCTGCTTTGCTGTGTTTGAGAGATGGATGGAGTTATGCCTGCTGATAGGCAATCTCTTAATCACTTTGGTATCTTAATGAATGAAAGATGCTCTCTGCTAAAGGTAAAATCCCTTAGATCAGTTCAGAACTGAAGACTGAAATCCAGGAGCTCAGTGCTGAGCCAGTGAAGTTTTTGGGGTGGAAAAGAGTTCTAGCATTTCACCACTGGCAGTAGTTATGTTTTAGAAAAGTAAGGTACCACTAGAGAAGCAGTGGAGAACATGTAGTAGAGCAGCTCTTTGCGAAACAGAGCCAGTGATTTCTCCCAGATCCAATTTGAGGCTCACAAATAAAAGGAAAGTTTTCCATTGCTCATATCTCCCTACATACAACTGTGCATGGCCTAAGTCAGACAGCAGTGTTAGTAATTCCTGTTCCATTCGTTTCAGAACAGGGGCAGCCTGACTGTGACTTCTCCTGAGGGGGAAGCAGAGCAGGGGAATGCTACACTGATGCTACCCTCGTGTCAGATTGTTTCACCCTTTATTCTACCTTATTTCTAAGATTAGTTTTCTGAAAATAAACATTTCTTAAAGCCAGGACCTGAATTAAAATCCTTAGGGACCAAATGCAGCCCTAGTTACCTATACAACAGCCCGTGAGATAAATGTTCATGGTTGAAGACAGGTGGTTCCCACTGTGTTCAATCTCAGTCCCAGGAAGGATGGTTGAGCAGACCCTATTCATTTGTGGCATATTGTTGAGCTCTTTTACAGATCTCACCCTTCCACAGGCATTGTATTACCCTTTTAGGTTTCTCTAAATCATAGGCTTCAGCTATGTTTTAACAGAAAAAATACACAAAACACACATCCACTTCCTGTGCCTGGGGCCACCCTTGTGCTCATCTAGAGGGGAGCCATTCCATTTTGACCATATTAACAGAAATCCATAAAAGCGAAAGCAGAAAGAGCACTTTTACACTGCATTCATCAACACATGAAAAAAACAGTCTACCAGAACCAGTTCTGGGCTTGTTCCACTGCGTCCACAGACACAAAGCAGTTGTGTCTGTGCATGCTGGTGCTTTTAAAGCTGATGCTGCTGTTGACTCAAAAGCTGCTTGCGTTACATCTGCCCACTGAAGTATAGATTTCCACATGTACAGCACCAAGGTGAACAAATCAAATGTATGCTCCTGCCACAACCAGAGAAATGCTGTAGTGAACACATCCACCTGAAATTCTCACATCCCTGCCAATGTCTTACTTTTTTTTTTTATATTTAAAATACCAATATAACATCATGAGTTTTTCTATGGACTTGATCACAATGGTGTGACAGTCATCTTTGTGTTAGTGTGGTACTGACAAATTACTGCTATAGAAAAAGTAGGAGGAAGAGTCTCCCCAGATTGGGAAATGCTGAGCCCTGGTTGAAGCACCAATCAGTAGAAGCAGACATTCAGTAGCTCAGTACCATATTCTACCAAAGACTTGCAAAGCAGCCTTGGCTCAGTTTGGATGTATTGGATGTATATAGATATATTCATACTGCCTGTTTTAGCCACAAGTTAGATATAGATGCTTTCTAGGCCAAGTTTAGAAGAGACCTGAGGGCCATATTCAGGCTGCCTTTTATACATGTGTGTACTGCTATCATGCCTACTTCCTGGCTGATCTGACTGTGGCCTGAATTGCTCTCTAGCAAGCATCTAACTTACTGTCAAAGTCCATGAACCATGCAAAGTGGCCTGAATACAGCCCTTTGTCTCCTTGTCTCACTCCCTCATCTGTATGTAATGCAGGGACAGAACAAATCTCAGCAAGGTTATGGAGATGCTCAGATTTCAATGAAGAGGACAATATGGCTACTTTTACAGGCAGAAATGTACTATGCTGTACTGTGCCGTATATACAACATAGGGAGACCTGGTTTTAGAGGAGTTCGCCATCTGCAGGAGCTTGCTCCAGATAGAACATCCAAGAGTTAAAAAAGGGATGTAAAAGTTAGCAAGAGTGCACCCTGGCATCTGTAGCAACAATTTTACATAGACTATACTGTATTCCAGCATAGCTATTTCCAGATGGCACTATATTTTACATTTTCCTCTTGCAGTTGACTGCTATCATACATACATATAGTACAACAAAGATGTACATAAGGGTGTATTATTGCCTATTCTTTGTTGTACACTCTTGCCCAAACATCTAGGGCTTTATTTATGTGACATTTAGTCTTCCTCAGAAGAGAATCTTTGCCTGGAAAAACAATATATGCAGCAGCTACAAAAGATAAGGAGAAACAGAACAGTATGGCTAATAATGAGAACACCGACAGCAAAAATGTACAGGGTTTTGTCACAGTAATCCTGAGGCTGATGAAAAGGCGGGATGAAATTTGGCAGGTACACAGAAAAAACCCAGAAGTTCCCAAGAATGAACCAGAGAAAGAGGAAAAGGCTGAGGGTTAGATGGATGTAGTACTTGTGAGCATTCTGCCTCCAGGGATATTCGTCGTCATCATCATCATCAATCACAACAGACTTGGAAAGCAGCTGCCTCATCCTGGTTGAGTCATACAGCAGGAGAGTCACCTGGAGGCATTGGGGGAGAAAAGGGAATAGGTAAATTGGCTGTAGAAAGTCTGAATGCCTTCTGGCCACTGCCAGTCTTTGGGCCAAATAAAATTCGGTGGGGGAAAATCATGTAAGAGAAAGCTAAGGAGCCACAAATGAGGCAGATCCTGCTGGACAATAATGCATTTTTTCCCTACAGTTTATTCACCAGTGAGATTTAGGTGAGACATTGGAAAAAACTTGCCACTGGTAAGGATGGAAAGGCATATGAGAACAGATTGTGTAGGGAGATGGCAGCAGCTCCCACGCTGGAGACTTTTGAGAACAGATTAGAGTAACTGCTAAATGACTTAAGTGGTGTAGTTCCTGCCTTGTAGTGGGTGGATTTGTCTCTCCCAACTCTGTTTTCCATGTCTACATAGGTAATTTATGAAGCATCTAGACTGTGACCTAAACCTCAAATAAATTGCTTCAGATACTGTTGTCAAGTTTTCTTCAATTAAATGTCATTTTCTCAGATTGCTCCATTTCTGCTTTCAGTCAAAACTAACAGAGAAATAGGTGGAATACCACAATGCCGTGTGGTTAGGAAGGTCTGGTATACAGAGAAATGCAGCAGGACTCATCAGTGATGCTTAAATTTCTAGTTTAGTCTTGGTAATACGAAGAACATAGGTAGATTGCAGTGTAGAGAAGCTTTCATATTTCTGTCCCCTCAACGACCTTCTTAATTTCCGTAGATTTATAGGAGACGTATATACAGAGCCCAACAAGGATTTTGGCCAAATCTTGTGAAACTTGTGTTATTTCCTATACCTGACATGCTTGGCCCAGTCCTCAAGGTACTAGCTCTTCTAATTGCAACTCCCTTTTTTAGGTACTCAGGTTCCTGTGCAAGTCTCCTTGCAGTGAGCTGTGTCTTTGGGAAAGGGACTCCAAGAAACTAGCTGAGCAGGAAGCTGCCTTGGCCAACCGAGAACGAAATTTAGAGGTAAAGGTAAAAGATGTGGTTATGGGAGAAATGTACTGTCCAAACAGGGGTTCTCAGCCATGCTCTCTTTTACAGAATTGTGATCTGTGCTCATTTTTCTGATTGAAAGAGAAAAGCATCCCTCATTTTACACTCTCCCTTCTCCAGAACACTGGCCAAGAGAAACCTGTTTGGGTATATGTTCTGTCTGGTTCAGATTTTAGTCCGTGTGCCCCATTTTCAAGAGGCAAGGCTTAGCAAGAGAATCCAGGACATCCTGGGAAGAGTTTTCTCTTACTCTTCCCTGTAAAACTGTGTGATTATTTATAAATGATTAAATATTTGTCACAAACCCGACTGTTTTTCTAGCCCGGATGTTGCTACCATGTGAGAAACACAGATTAAAGTCCCCGCACCAAGACAGGCAAAAAAAAAAGGTGTTTCCACTGGTTGTTTCACTTCCAGCTGAGCCCTCAAACTGATAGACTTGTTCAAACCAGCAGAGCATCTTCCTCTCAGGTGAACATTTAGCTCATGACACACAGGAGGGATAAACCTATTTGGCCAGTAGGTCTGCAGTTTCTGCATGGGGGGACCTGTAGGTCAACCTGAAGCCCCATGCAGCTCATTAGCTGTGAGATGAGCTCAGCACATAGATAGCTGCCTGTACTCAAGTTTCACCAAACTCAGCAATGGGAATGGGATTAAATGGCAGATGAGTATTCACTTTGAGGAAGTCAGAGAAACATCCCATGTAGATTTATGGATCTCAACTGCATCTAACCAGTTCACGGAAAGCACATTTAATTCTTATGGATATTGCCTTGCTAAGCTGTGATTGAAGCAATTTCTGTCAGTTGCTCACGTTGCTACTAACTGCTGAATATACACTTATGGAGCAGCATGACCTGAATTCAACAGGCCTCTCTGGATGCCGTAGAACGGTTCAGTTGCCTCAGTGAGCAGTTGTAGGTTGCCATTGCCTTTTGAAAGATTGGAGGTGGTAAAGAAATAGATGAGGAGCCTGTAAAACTGCACAGATCTGGGCCAGAATGACTTGCCATTAAATGATGTCCAACACAGGACAGCATTCATTCAGACTTCATCCTACACCCATTCTCTGACCTTTTAACCTCCAGAGGTCAAGCGAATGCATTGCTCAGCAAACTCGGTGCAGTCCAATGGACATAACAGAGGGCAGGGTTGAGATGGTAATTCGGCTACAGACCAAGCACTATGAGATGACACTTGAGTTAGGCCAATCAAGTTCTGACCAAATTTATTGCCAGAATGCAAAATAAGAAGTCCTGTTTTCAACTGAAGCAAAATTCAAGCCATTATTTGAAGTCATAATTGTGAGAAATTAATATGACGGTTTTATTACAAGCGGGGATTTCCGTGGTTACCTCATGTTGAGATACCTGGAGGTCATTTTGTTTGGAGAGATTGAAGAACCATTTTGTGATCAGGAGCCTGGTGGGTTGTGTGTTGTTCTGGTCACTGTTACTGACTGCTTTGTTTGCTGTTCTTATTGTTCTGGTTGTACTGATCACTGTTACTTACTGCTGCTTACTGCTTTCCTTACTGTTCATATTGTTCTGGCCACTGCTTTGCTTGCTGTTCTTGTTGTTCTGATCACTCTCAGGCGAATCGGAAAGCATGTAAGGCGGTAAGACCAATTTGGGCTTGCTGCTAAGGGACCATGCGGCTGGGGGCAGGGAAACAACCTGATAGGGGGATGAGGACAACCAGTGGACTGCACCAGAAAGCAAAGACTGCCTTTTAAGGAAGAAGAGAGCGAGGCCTGGAGTGGGAGGTGTGAGGGAGTGGTTATGTAAATCAAGAGACCTTAAAAAGGCTTGTCCCCTCTCAGTCAGGTGTGCTGGAATGAGGCCACGAGTTTGGTGCACCCAGCGCACTGTTAATAAAGTTCTTTGTTTCACTTTATTTGACCGTCTCCAAAATTTTAGAGATATTTCTCACATAATGAATACTAACTGACCCATTTACCACCTTACTTGGAGTGAGAAAAGCTGTCTTTAAACAAGAAATAGCTAAGAAATAGTCAACGTTTTTTGTGGAGACTTCAATCCATTAGCATCAAAATTTCCTTTAAGTTCTGCTGTAATCTTTTCTAAACCATTATTAAATGAACCTTGATTATATAGATAGGTCCACTGGTGTGATCGAATGACTAAGCATTTGTAAGTAGAAGTCACTTGTTACATTCCTTGTAACAAGATCAAGCACTTCCTTTGTTTCTCCGTTTACTTATTTACTGACCAAAGGTCCTTGTGGGGATGATTAATATCCCAGGGAGGTACTGTGGTTTGGTAACCACAGTGAAAGAGTGTACGGAATGCAGAGACCTGCAGAGGAATATTCTTTCCCCATTCTTTCAATCCTGACATAGAAAAGAGGCTAGAAATGTTATCAAAGGGGAACGTAGATAGCTCTTGTCTGCATTGTCTGCTGGCTGCAAGATGCAGTGCTGTCAAGTCAAAGACTAGTACATTCCCTTACAAGGGACAGGCTGTGTGTACTGAAACATTAGGCCACAACTCATGAGGTCTACCCTGTCTGCTCTGCTGGTGACAGGCTCCTGGGAATGTTGGCTGGGTGCCAGGTTGCTGCTGCCCTGGTCAGCTCTGCAGAACAGCCAATGCTACCAGTACAGATGGTCCTCCAGCAGCGCCGCTTGCTGCTCTTAGCCCTTCGTGCCCCAGCGTTGCGGTTTCAAAGCTTCTCTTTCAGCTCTGCTCCTCTTCCTTCCTTTTGTATGAACATCAATGGGATAGCAAAAACCAGTTGAGCAGCCTTAAAGAAGCTCTGCAGCTCGCTGTGACGAGGCTCTTCATGCTTCCTAGCAGCCAGTAAACACCGTCTGCAAAGTGCCTGTCAGAACAGGGTGATCCTTCACCCTAGAGTCAATGCAGAGTTATAGCTTTATAGGGACCAGGGTGTAACATGGATATGAGGGTGTCTCTACTGGTCAAGCAGCTAGGCTCTGGCTCAGCAAAGATATGAGTGAGCACGGTCCACTAGAAGACAGGTAACTGTGGTTAGAAATTGCTGCTCCTAGATTGATAAGCCCTGCTGTGATGTAGGGATATGTTTACTCTGCTGCATAGTCATTACTTCTGGCCAGGTCAGAGTGGGAGTAAATTGAACTTGTGAAGGATTATGTACAAATACTTGTAGCTTTATAGTATTCCCAAAGCTAGGAGAGTAACTTAACTTTTTGTCCAGTCTGTGTGTGAAAATGAAGGCGAAAGGTCTGGCATACTTGGAGGACTGCTTGTGGAAAAAGGACTCCATTTACCACAGGCATCCATGGTTAAGTAGTAATTTCCCTCAGTAGGGATGATAGCACAGATACTGTGATGTAGGAGAAAGTCACACCGCAATGTGTGGGACAATGCTGAACTCATTAGCATCTCACTTGATTGAGGGGTGCTTTGGGTGCTGGAAAAAGCACATTCAATCTCGATAGCTCTCTTCAGTACTGCATGCATGTGGCTGTCTGGAGCCATCATTATGTCTTAACTAGCAAGTCAAAGTCTAGTCACACAAAATACTTTTCGCACAAAGAAGGCACATTACCTTTAAGCTGCCAATCACGCCACCCACCAACAGATATAATGGAATTAGTGGCTGAACTGGGCAATCTTCCAAAAACTTCATTCCTGAACAGCAAAAATGAATGTTTGTTATCTCAAGTGATCAAATAGCGCAACAAGCTGTACAGTACAAACTATAGATGCTGTTAGTGAAGCATAGAGCTTACACCCAGACTCGTATCCAGCATCTGTTGAAATGGGATCTGAATTAAAGGGGGTTTGCATCTCCTACTACAGGAGTGAGGGCCATGAACAAGCAAAAGGCAGTAGAAGGAGGAAAGAGAGCAAAGGTAACAACAGCATTACTGTTGTTCTGGCATTACTGACTGGAGCCACGTATCGAGGTCATTTAGCCTCTGCTCTTTGTTAAATGAACCATTGACTAAGCTGGACAGGAAATTTTCATCAGCAGTAGAAAATTCACTGAAAATGAAAACTATGAATATAAGGAATTCTGATAAGCTTCTCCCAGGATTTTCCTGCTCATTAGCTCACGGGAGTGTGGCATGTTCCTGAGTGAGATGCCTCAGAGCTTGGGAGCCAGTGCCTGTGGGAGCACCTGGAACCATTTTAGCTTCCCAGGCAGCTGATAGGCAACTGCAGAAGCTCAAGTTTTTAGGCTGTTTGGGTTGCTGGAGGATAAAAGCACTGGTTGTTATGGAGGTGGGGATCCTGGCAACCCTCAGATCTGCTGCTAGAAAGAGAAAGCTGGATAAGTTTTAGAGGAGGGAGTGTATGGCTGCGTAAGGATGTTGCTGGCAGTAGAGACTGAAGCTTGTGATACAGGTCTGTGGCAGTGAAACTCATCTATCCAAATATAGATGTCTGCAATGCGGGCATCCATGTGTGAACTAGTTTCCTAGACTCTGTAGTCAATAGGGAGAAATAGATACTTGTAAAATTCAATTCATTTATCCTGAGATAGGCATTTGAAATGGGTCAGGTGAGCTGGGCCCTGAAAGAGTCTGTGTCTCTCCATGGCTACACAAGGAATCTTGACAGCCAGCTGTAGGTATCTAAAGTTAGCTGGGATGAATCCCCCTGGCCAAGCCTCTTACCTGGTGGCATCCTTAGAAATTTTAAACTGTTCATTACACTGTAATTTTACTGTTATTGTTCCCATGTTTCGGGGCTTTGACTGATCAGGTGCAGAGAGCAGGAAGGATTTTCTGTTTTCTTCTTGCTGTATAAGTAATTTTCAAGGAGATATTTTGACTTTCCTCTGAATAATTGGGGTTATCTCAATGCAGGATACTGAAAGCAATGTGCTGGTCTTAGTGCAAAACATGTCTCATGCAGGATGTCTTGTCTGCATTTTCAAAACCACACTGAAGAGGAGAAATCAGGAAAGAAGTACCAGGGTGTTTTGGTTTTGTTTGTTTGTTCGTTTGTGGGAGGGTTTTGCCCCTTTCTACAGCTGTAATCCTCTTCAGTTTGTGAATTTGCCTACCAAATCCACTGGTATTGCTGGTCCAGAACATTGCTGATGTCCTGAATCTCTCCTGTGTTCTTTGCATAGCATAATACAAGCGTTCTGGATTGTGGTTGCTTGCTGTAAATCTATATTAGTCATAGGACACAGTGTTTTGTGATCTGCTGTGTGTGAGGGCTGTGGAGTCCAGTGAACTCTTCTGTACTAAGCATTTGTTAGCAGTCTTCTCATAATTGAAAATGGCTGGACTTAGATGGATTTGGACTCTTTCCCTTTTTGTCCCTACTGCAAGGCTGTAATTTTTTGTCCATTTTGCCACTATGTACTGCTAAGACCTGCTCAGACTCCCAGCTTTACAGAGGTGGGCAGCAGGGAAATTGTCACAAATATATCATTTTCAGAAAGCTGCTGTCAGAGTCCTTGGACCTGTAATAGCCTGCCACAAAAGCAGCTGGCCAGGGATAACTGGGAATATATTTCGGTTTAAGAACCTAGGCAATTTCTGTTTCTAGTGTGTTACTGAGATTTTGATTGGAGGCAAAAAAAAAAAAATCAAGAAAAAAAGCCTTTTTTTTTTTTTTGTCCTCATAGTTCTATGATTTTCTTTCCCAGACAAATCTATTATGGAGTCTTTTCATATATGTAACATGATGGCAGTCAGTCTTGGGAAGGATTTGAATGACAGGCAGTGGTACACTGTAGGTTTTGGGAGAATACTGCAGACAGATATGACAGCAAAAGAGTAGGTCAAAGTGAGTAATACAGTAGTAACTTTAAAAATACACCCCAAAGTGTGAAGAGGAAATATGGACCTACAGTTGATAAATGGGCACTGGTATTTGTTGCAGTGAAATCAGTGAGTGTGCCATTCAGTTCTCACCCAGCATGTGCTTGATTTATCTGGAAACACTGAAACTAGTAGGAAAGCAGCTTCTTTCCCAGGAGCATCACAGAACAACACTTCAGCGGGATCCAGGACACAAAGTTCAGCAAGTGGAAAGAGCACTTGTGAGCAAACAGGATATGAGCTCTTTAAGGACACTATTTTGGGCAGTGTTGCAGTGTGGCCCACAATGGATCACTACTAACCAAGTGTACCTGTGACTCACGATTATCCATGAGATGAGGGGTCAGGATGAATGAAAGTCAATGCAGCACTGGCCCCATTTTACCTGCTTTGCTCTTCTCAGCTGAAAATGGCTGAAGTGCACCCCACGGTAAAGGAGGGCTTCTGTATAGCAAGGCTAATCTGGTGTTTGGTGCCTGCTCCCCACCTTTTCTTGCAATAGGAGGCAGAGGACACAACATGCCAGGCCATTTTCAGTTGTTTCTGGTGGGTGACTGCAGCTGTCATCATTTAGCACAGTGCTCAGTCAAGCCTTGACTGTGAGTTTTACACTGGGATGCTGGTGCTGCATGGGTTTTATCTAAGGAATTGCTTTTGGGTACTGTTATATCAGAAAGCATATCAGCAAATCAGAAGAAACAGAAATGGTGAGTGGCTGAAGGACTGAAACGCAAGGAGAGATTGTGTTAACAACTGCTAAAGCACAAGACTGGTTCCCACATGAAGGGACAGAGTATGAGAATAGGCTTCAGACAACTACTGGGAGCATTTGCGAGTTGAGGAATTATTTGGTGTAGATATGAGTGTGAGGAGTATTAATAGGTTAAAATTGTACAGGGGGAAATTTAGACTGCTTATTGAGAAAATGATGTCATCAGCTTTCAAATGTGATTTAGCTTCCGTTGGGGAATACTGTGTATAAGGGTATTCCGGACAACATACTAGAATGTATTATTGGGAGCAATACTTTACTGTCCCAGAAACTAAAAAAACCAACCAAACAAAAAAACCCCCAAACTCTCTGTATTTTTGGAGTGTTTAGTGAAAAAAAGGAATCATCTCTGACAGTAAGAGAGTTAGAAAGCTACTAAACAATACGTGGCTTAAATGATGTCACAAGTCTGGAAAATTTGCTGAGTTCCTTTATATGTACTTGAATTATACTGTGATTTACAGTATTATCAAATTTTAAGAGTGTATAATATTAGTGTGTAATTATTACCAGAGCTGCCAGTCATTACTCTCTGAGTTTTAGCAAACTCTCTGAGTTTTCCTCTGCAGAAAGCAGGACCCAAAATGAGTGGATGCACATCAGCAAGTTACTCTCTGAGATCATGGTAACAGAATATTATCAGAAAATCAGATTAATTTTGCCTAAATAATAAATATCTGCATTTTCCTTGATATTTCATTTTCCTAAAAATACTTTGCAGATATGTAGCTGCAGGAAACCAATATCCTCTGACAACACTATTACAGTGACATTATCTCTTAATTTCAGTAAGTTGTGAAAAAGAAAAAGGCTCTCTATCTGATTCAGGAGATACCCAGAGCTCCAGGCTAATATCTTACCATACACTTTCCACATGTCACTGATCTTAAAGATATTATGAAATATTCCTGAGAAATTATATTTATAAGTGGTCAGATTCCAGCCCTGAATTCATTTCCAGAAGTCTGGATGTCAATATGCATGGAAGTTGTGCCACATTTTGAATTATACCTTCCCACCCCTATTTCACAGCTCAGACATATTCAGCCTGGGGAAAAGCTAAAGCTAAAATCCTCTTAAGGGATAAATAGCAATCTTAAGTCATGCATAAGTATAAGAGCCAAAGTGTTGAGATGTAACAGTTCTGTCCATTTCCCTACTTCCTAATTGCTCCTTAATCCCTCATTAGAACTCCCTAATTCCTAATTAGGACATCCTAATCAGAATCCCATCATAGTTATCACTGATACCTGGAAGGCCCCAGATAAAGGGAACAACACTAACCTTAAGCTGAACACTTTTTGTGGGTTTGGCCAACTATACATACCAACAGTTAAGATCTCCTGACTGCCTTAGAAGTCACCTTGTCTCTATGCAGACATCTAAAAGGGTGTGGGACTCTCACTGTCAGGAGCACCCATTTCTTTTAGCGGCCTGCAAGGACAGCACATGGCACTCAGCTTGGTTACAGATGCATACAGTCCAAATCTAGGTGGAATGCATCTTGCCCACAGCATCTGCATGTAGAGTTTACTTGCACCATCTTTCATGAATAATGAGGCAGAAGGTGAACAACTTCTCAAGGACACCCATCTGGAAGGATTGTAAGTGCTCTTGAGGACGGAACTTAGAATTCGAAGTGATCTGGACACACTGGAAAAAGACATTCAAAATCTACACAATGACAGTCCACAAAGCTGAACACTTCTTACAGGACAGAAAACTTCAATGTAAATAAAAAATGAGAAATGTCTGATAGAGAACAGCACTGCCAAAAACCATCTGGGCTTACAATGCACCATAAACTAAATTGGCACCAATGAGTTGGTGCAGGGAGAGCATCTTTCATTTTGAGGTGTGTTTACAGAAATCCTGCATGCTAAACAGAGGAGCTAATTATTCTGCACTGCTCATTTCTCAGGTCTCAGCTGGAGTCCTGTGTTCCATCTTTCTTTTTTTTTAATGGAAAAAAATAGTTACATTGGCCAGAGGCCAAAGAAAGGAGGCAAAAATAAAAATAAAAAAAAACAACAAAACAAACACAAAAAACCCCAAATAAAAAACCTGTAGAAACAGTGACCTGTGAGGTCAGGATGAAAGAAATAGGGTTTTGAGATCTCTGGGGGGAAAAAAAGAGAAGAAGGAGAAGGGTTATAATAGCAGCCTTCAAACAGTTCAAAGGGTCTCTTGAGTAGGACAGTAACCAATCTGTCTTTGTGACTGCAGCGGGTAGGGCAGGCTGTAATCTGTTTAATTTGCCATAGGGAAGATTTAGGTTGGATAAAGGGGAAAATATTTTGTCTGTGAGAGCAATAATATGTTGAAATAGGCTCCTTGGGAAGCTGTGGAATTTCCTTGAGCAAGGGCAAGTCAAACATCTGTCAGGGATGCCGTGAGCATGTGAGCCTTCTGAAAGTGGAAGTGGACTGGTGTCTCTAGTGATATTTCTCCAGTGGGGCTTGCAATCCATTGTAGAGGATGTGAAAGGCCCAAAAAGAGTAATGAAGTGTAAGAAAATACTCTATCAACAAAACATAAATATCTATGTTAATGGTAAGGAAAAGGTAATGCTTAAGAAAGGAAGGGCCTTATGCAGTTTAAAAGTATATAAAATTCTGCAGCTTAAAGGATTTTCCTTTCTTAAATATTTGATCTTGAAATGCTACTCACAAATCCAGCCTTTGAGGGGTTATACAGAGACAGATCAGCCAAAAACCAGGTCTGACTTTCAAAAAGGTTCAGAAATAGGAGCCTAGAGCACCTCTTTTTCCCTTTCAGCATTACGCTTTAAGATTTTTACAAGGCAGTTAATACAGAGGGATCCTGATTAATGAAATCTTCTCATGTGTCAGATTCTGAACTTTCTCCCACAGACAGAACCTGCTTTGAGGTAAGACACACTGGAGGGCTATTTAAGATAAACAGGCTCAGAATTCAAGTACTGCTTCCTCCCCGACATGCAGTGTAGGCTGGGATTCTGTCTGAAGCTAAAGTACCAACACACAGGTTTAACAGTTGGAAACTCTAGGTTTTCCAACTCCTTTCTTCCACCAGATGGGTTAACCTGCCATACAGTGCCAGGAAGTTTCTGTTTTCAAATAGTGTAGTTCCTACTTTCAAATTTAGTAGTCAACTTACCTACAACAGTCATGGACAGAGGTAAGGCAAGGAAAGCAAGGAGCCCAAATATAAAGAATGCTGTGAATGAGAAAAGAAAGACAGTGTTATTTGAGCTGGTTCAAGTTTAGAGGCCAGCATTTCCATCCAGTTCTTTATAAATACTCTTTATCCATACAGTTGTGTAGCAAGAAATGCAGTGCACTTGATGGGGTGAGATTATTGTCTCTGTGGTGCAGCATTTGAGATGATGGGACCAGGACATGGTTTGTCACTCTCAGAGTGCAGTGAGAGATGCAAACTGCTTTTGCAGCTATTACTCGTAGCTGTCTTATTGCAAGGGCAAGGACTTGGGCACTGATGCCTTCGCTTGCATCTGCTTCAGAGGCACTGCCAGGTGATTGTGCAGTAATAAGTAACTTTGCATCAGCTAATCCATGGCAATTGATGAGCTGTATCTGTTCGCTAAGTAAATATCAGCTTTAATACCATTCCACTCAGTTTTCGCTAATAGCTAAATAAACTGTCTTTATTGCAGATGTGAATAGTTTCTGGCTGGTCTAACTCCCTGACCCAGCTTGGCTCATGAACACGAAGGCAGCAGCTCCGCTGCAAGGAGTGGGACTTGTCATTGGGATAGATCAGCTTAAGCTGTGTGGAAAGATGCTCCTAAGGGTGCACATAGACCATTCCTGCAGATGAATGATCTGAGGTGCTTAATTACTCCCCAGAGAGCTGCTGGTGTATCTGAGCCCTGATATTTTCCCAGCACAGCCTGATGCTGCAGAGGAACAATGCTCACCTTTGCAGAAAGTGAGAGACAATAGCATCAGGAACAGTATGAGCACTTGCACACAGCCTGTCTTACAAGAGTTGTCACCTCTGTGCCTAATCATGAACACTTGGCAATATTAAAGTGAAATGCTGCCCTGCAAAATGAGAGTAAAACATAATGAGGATATTCTGTGGCAAGTGTCCCTGCAGAGCGCTTTTACAAATGGCTCAGTCTGCAAGTGGATGCCTAAGGACGCAGAAGGGCAGCTGGGCATGGATTGCAGAGGGGTTGAGAAGAGCATGTACAAGAAAAGGAGTAGGATGTCTCCTCAGAGGCTTGTGGAAAAAAGTCTTGAAGCAAGCATTCAGGGTTGGTTTGGGACTAGCCCTTCCCCGGGCAAACTGTTATGCGCTTCCCCATGCCAGAGAACTGCAGCCTCTGCAAGGCGAATGGCATCTTCCTCACTGTGCAGGAGTGGGGACACTGCCAGCACCCTGCAGACAGTGCCACTCTTGGAAACTGCAGCACTGCCAAAACATCACCCTCAGGCTGCCTTAGAGAAAAAGGGAAGCATCATAGCCTCCATTTTACAGAAGGAGAAACTGAGACAGAGGACATAAGAGCAGTATCAAAATTCAGGGCAGATCCACCAGGCTTTCTGACTCGCAGACACTTTTCATGGGAACAAACCATCCCCCACACACTGCTCATGTTTTCTCTGCAGAGAATGAGGATCTTACACTTCAGTGCTTGAGAGACATCTTTCTCAGAAGCTTGTTATCTCTATGAATTGGTAGAGACTGAAGGTACTTTGAGCTGAAGAAAGCACTGCTGTTCCTTTGTGCAACCCCCTCCTCCTTTCCCTGTCAGCCAGTCTGCCTCTCTCTCTCTCTCTCTCTCACACACACACACACATTTTTGCCCAGACTTTCCTATCTCTTGAATACTGCACAGTACAGAAATTCTTCCTCTGCTTGAATAGTGTCCCACACTTCACTAAGCTCTTTCAACTACTGACAGCCTCTCATTAGAACAACTCAGCCTAGAGCCTCCCTTTTCACCACATGTCAAATTTTGTGCTAGCTCCTTTTGCTGTTGCATTATCTAGACTATTCTTTCATATTCTGAAGCGATGATACTGTAGCTGAGTTGGGCTTCCAACAACACCTGCAAATTGTGCCCACAGCCTGGGCAGCTCATCTGTCTGGCACCCAAAGGAGTGCACTTCAGCTCTGCAGGCATTGCATCGACTGCCTGGCGTTGTCAGAAGTCCCGTCCCTGCAGCGCAGCTCTCGGAGCGACGTCACTCCTCTGCCTGCAGTTTCTTAGCTGCCTCCTGTTTCTGCCCTTGCTGCACGGGCAGGAGCCTGGGAGCAGGAGGCATCACGTAATTTCTCAATTGTGCAGAACGTGGTCTGACTGACCCCCGGGGAGGGACGCTGCTGTAAGCTGTGTAAAAGGCTCAGGGGGGCCATGTATATGTGAGGCTGCGCATCTGGCACACAGGTGTCGGGGTTTGTTTGTGTCTAGCATCTACCCGATAGCTTGGTTTTGGAGGGGAGAAATGGGGGTAGGGACCACTCAGAGCTCAAGAGAAAAAGATAATGGTTCATTAATTCCCGTCCCAAAGGAGTCGCTGGGAATGTATTTACTCATTATCTCCTCATTCAGCTACAGTCTTTTAGGTCTCGAATTGGAGGGGCAGATGCATAGCCTGGGAAGGCTTCCAGATCCATGTTTAACAAAGTGAGACTCTTCAACAATTGCCTACACAACTGGCAGGGCTCCGCAGCCGCTCTCAGTGCCGCTAGCAGCACTAAAGACTGTTTTCCTCTAAACGTGTGGGGTTTTCACAGAAATGCTGCTCAGCTGGGGGACACACTCTCTGCCTGGATTTGTCTGGGCTGTGCTGCCCCGTTCTGGTTCGAAGACAAATTGTTCAAGAAAATGGTACTTGCTGCAGGGTAGCATAGCTCAGCAGAGAGGATGCTGCTGTCTAGGCAGTCCCACATGTGGGGCTTATGATATTTTTATGTCGGTGACATCTCCTCACAGGCTGGTCAGAGAAGCCCCTGGACCCATTTCTGGAAAAAGTAGCAAGAAAGTGCCGGTAGTCTCTTAAAGCACAACAGGGTGTGAGGGAAGTGTTTCCAGGCATGTCTCAGAAGGGTATCTGCTCTGTGAAGCTGGTGTCATGGCCTCAGGCAGGAGGACCCACTGCTGTGTACTACCAGGCAGCTGGGGCTCTGGTGAAGTCCTGCTGTGGAAGCCATTAGTGAGGGAGTCCTAACACACTGGGAAATGGGTGAGGGGAAGAGCTCATGTCTGGGATCACAACAGAGGAAGAGAAGAACAAGTGGCTGTGTATCTTGCACATTCCTTGAAACCTGTGGTCACAAAGTCACAAAGATTAGTGGGTGCAGATTTTGGTTCCTGCCCAGCAGGATTGTCAGCTTATATAAATCTGCTGTTTAGCTGAGGTGCTTCTGCCAGGGTCTTCCCACAGAAGTAAAGGCACTTGAAATTACTGTTAACATTATGGCTGTACTTCATGGTCTCTCTTCTATCTGATGCCTGAGCCTTTGCATCTTCCATAGCCATGCCCCTGCACTGCAGCTCTCCTCCCCGCCCTCTGCTACTCCCTTGTTTTCTGTCCCCTGTTACTATGTGCCTGGCCTCAGGGCACACAGTCGGTTGTCTTCTGTCATGTGGTTTGGATCTGGAGGCATTATTGCATGTGACACCAATTCACCTGTGGGCTCCTCAGGCTTTATTTTGCTGCCATGAGTTTTCCAAGAACTTGGAAGTTTCAGATCAGCTCAAGCTGTCCCTATTTACTTTGAAGAAAGAGAAAAGTTTCTTTTCTTTTTGGGTAAGTATACTCTTCACATGATTTTCAGAAGTAAATTATGAGTGTAAATCTCTATCTACCTACTCTTCTTAGGTAGATGCTAATACAGCTGTAGTGCAAGCTGCTCAGTAGAGTGTGTGGCAAGCTCTCTGATAATAAATACAGCAATAAATGAAGTTACACTACCATCACTTCCAAATGACATTTGTTCTGTAGCCTGTCAGGTTCCCGATAAAAAAGGATTTCTTTTTTTAATGATATGTTACCAGCTTCCAAACAAATTCTGTGGTTACCCTGGGATTTATCTGCATGAGCAAAACTCTGGATGTAAACTCACAGTACACACTTCAGACATGCTGTGGAAACAATGCTCTGAAGGGGGCTGACTCTCAGCAGTCTGGATGTTAGCAAACTCGGGTCAGTTGCCAGGGCCCCTGGCCTGATGATGCCCTGAGGTAGATGCAGATGGTAGTGCACTAGCTTAGCAAGCAGTGTCACAGGGTGCTGTACTGCAGCATGGATGGTGTAACAGGCTGGAGTGCAGATGGGTGGCAAGTATTTTCATCCATGTTTTAGTCCTTCACAGTATCTACAGGCATTGCCTGCAATATTGATAGGGACTTGGAGGAAAGAAAGAATGCAGCATGTTGGGGTGGCAAAGAAAGTCTCGATGGATCTTTCTGGGGAACCAGCTCCAACAAGGTCATATGCTTTACAAAACAGGAATATGTCTGCCTCTGGTTTTGGTAGCTGTGGATACTGGCTGTCTTTCTGTGCTTTTGAGTGACAGGAAAATGTCACTATCTCAGATGGGATATGCAGAAAAGACTTGAGCAAAATAATGTGAAGGAAAATAATTAAATCTTTTCATCTTGGCCAACCAACAGCCAAAAGGGAGAAAATAACATCAGAGTTTGAGTACTCAAAACCAGACCTGTAAGTGATCCAAAGTATAGAGACATGAGATGAACTTGAGCAGAAACAAAGACTGCTTTGTTTATAAGCCTAGATGCCGTAGCAAGGAGATATATTGATGGAGTAGTCTCTTGGGACGAATGGTGGGAATCCCATCCCTGGGGTGATTTAATCACTTGATCAAACTAGATACTCAGCAGCTGGAGGATTCAGTGTAAGGAGCAGCCATTCCCATGAAGGTCTCTAGCCCCAGTGCAAAGCCACCATATGGGGCAGGGGAAGTGTGAAAAACCTGACTTGCAGACCAAAACCAAGCTCAGGGCCCTCTGCTGTTTGCTGTGTCCCATCACTGTTTGCGTAGACAAGGTTGTCTTACTATGAAACGATAAACTTTGTTACCCAGATAATCTGTGGCACCATAACATCACCTAAAATTTATGTTCTAGATTCCAGCATTGACAACAGCAATGCTGCTCCCATCAGAAATGGTGTTGAATAACAAGATGCCCAAAATATGGGAACCTTCAAGAGGGGGAGGATATAGATGTAAATGCAGAGGTAAATGTAGAGGTAGGTGTAGATATACATCTAGATGTAGGTGTGATGCTTTGGGGGTTGGGCAATATTGCAGAGTGTCTTGTCTGAATTTTATATTATGCCTCTAGCTACTAAACTACAGTTATGCCATGGTCTAGGTTCTAGATTTGTCCCCTTCTGATTACTGATTAATTTGTTCCCTTCTGATTAATTTCCAGATGTAGAAGATAAAATAAGATTTTGTCTTTACATATAGAGCCACCAGTTTGCTTTACAGTAGACCTAGGGTAGTGGATTAGCCTTCTTTTTTTTGGACAGTTAATTAAAGACCACCCTAGTTCTAAACTGAAATTGCTACACCAAGAATGAAAAGATGCTCTATAGGTGGGTTTACTCTTCAGAGTTATTTAAATATCAGGTACAAATGCAAAGTTGTGGGGAAACACTCTTTGAAAAATATATGCAGGATGATGAGAAAAAGTGAAATTAAATGTCACTGCACTTTTGTGCAGGTTTTGTATTTTAATGAACAGAAAATCAATTGTGGATGCACTAGCTGATCCATAGCTATAGATGAGCTGATTTCGAACTTAAATGTGATGAAAACCTGAAGATAATTTTCTGGAATGGTATTTATGAGTTGCCATACTCATGGGTAGCTTTTTGGGTACCTAAGAGGGTTCCTCTGGCGTAGAAGAGCATAGGTGAGATCAGGACTAATCACGATCTTTCAAAAAAATAATCAGAAGGATTAATTATTTTCTCTATCATCATTAAAGTCCCAGTGGTAATTTAATACTCACAGGGAATAGTGGCATTTTGCTTGTAATCTCTAGGAACAAAAATCAGAGAAAATACCACTTTTGAGTTTTTAAACTATGATATTCACCAATGGGTCCAGATCCCCCCTGCTTGTCCTTTCTGCTGGGTGCAAGGGATCCCACACCAGCTGGGTCCCAGTTCTGCTCCCAGAGGCTTGTCAGGGTGTAATGAGAGCACCACGTGCTCCACACCCCTTGTTCATCACTCCCCAGTCCTCCTTTCCCATGGGGCAATGATCAGCATGAACAAGTGGACCAGAAAATGTCCTCCCCTACCTGTGCCAGGTTTCTGCAGGGGAGTCTGGTTTGAGCTATCTGTCCACCTGGCCTGATTTTCTCTGCAGGGTTGTAAGGCAGCAAGGAGTTAAGGGCCTTAATCATTAATAAAAGTTCATTCTGAACTTTGAGAGCCTTTCAAACAAAGCAAAAAGCAGGAATGTAGAAAACTCCAAGGTAATACCTAGACTGACAAATGCAGCACTTAGTGTGGGCAAAGTATCAATTATCATGAGTGGTCAAGGGGTTTGCTTCTCATATTTGAGTGGAGTTAGAAATTGCTACTGCCTTGAAGTGAAAGCAAAAGGCACTTGCAACTCAGAGTGAAAAAGAGATGCAGTCAGCAGGAGTAAGCTACTTTAAAACCCTTGAATTTTAACCTCCTGCCAACAACACTTCTTCCCTGGTCCTACAAAAACCCACCCCAGGAGTGCATTTCTCCTGTAACTCTGTAGCTTGCCCGCCCCAGCCCAGGTCAACTTTCTGCTGTGTTTCTTCTCAGAGAGCAAGAACCAGCCTGTTCACCCCAGCCTGGGAGCTGTTGTGTCATTACAGCCCTCTGCATCCTCCACCCTGGGTAGGAAGAACCGGTTGCTTTAAAACCTGAGTGAGCCCAGCCTGTCGTGTGAAAGACCCCTATACAGATAACTGATGCTTACAACCCACAACATGCTTACAGCCCACAATGTGTGGCTGCTTATGGGGGTTACCCATCCCTACAATGGCCATTGTGCCAGGGACCAGACAAGCAGAGGGAAGACGACCCTTTCCCAAATCTCACTGGGTGAAAGGGGGGCTGGCTATTCCTGACCATACTCTGTCCCCAGCCTTGTGTCCCTGTGTCAGCACAGACGCTGGCAGCAGTTTTGCTTTGAGGAATTGCTCCTGGGAGAGTTTGTCCCCAGGCTCTTTACCAGATGATTTTCCCTGCAGATACTTCTGCTGGACTATGTGTAAGGTAACACTTGAAACAGAAGGCGAACACATTATATTGCTTAAGTTTTCTGCTGCAGCCCATATTAAAGTACATGGTGGTGTTTATGTTTGTTTGAAATTTTATGCTGGTCTGCTATACTTCAAATACTGTAGCAGGCAGCTGCTGTTGGGATAGAGTTACTATTGCTCACTCCACCAGCACTCAAAATTGTCTAGGAAAGGAAATAGCTCAGAAAGGAGATTGGAAGATTCAGGTGAAACTTGGTACCATATTAGCTCCTTTATATACATGGCTTAGCAACAGGGCTGATTAAATACAGAAGGTGCTTACTACCAGAACTGCCTTACCATTGCTGGCAATTTTGGATATGCACCGGTGGCAGGCTTTCTCCAGGCCAGCAGTCATCGTGATGAACCTTTCGGGGTGTCTGTGGAGACAGAGAAATTAATATGGTTATGAGAAGTGTCTTTACCTTACTAAGTATCTTGACTCAGAGTACTCACACACCTTGGCAGGCTTTCACTACTCTCAAAAACTCAAAGCATTCACAAATGCAGACAGCAGCCATCAGTGTAGCATACCCAGAGGTAGCTATGCCTTCCAGCAGCTCTGGGCTTGCCTGCTCGTGATGGCAGAGCTCTGGGGTCACAGGGAGACTGGAGGAGAAGTAAGTATTGATGACATCTTCCTGAAAAGTGTGAATGGTTCTGTCTCAACTTTGATTGGAGTTGGGGCAGAAGAAAGTCTATTTAACTGCTATGAGAAAACCCAGTGAAATGGGTACGGTTCACTACATAAACCTCAACAAAAATTAATTAGTGAGCAAAAAATGAATTGAAGAAACAAGGAGGAGAGAGGATGAAAATAGTTTTAAGATCAAGGAAGATTCTGAAGAGGAATACAGAATAAAAACTTCAAACCACATGGAGCCGAGAACAAGATGCCTTTGATAGAAAAGTAGCTGAACTAGAAAGTAGCTCCTTGAAGAGAGGAATTTTTACAAGGTGAGGTGAGTGATGAGCAAGCAGCTAGGCATCTGAGGCTGGTCGTCAGAGAGCACCAGACAGTTAAATAGCATCCAATGTCAATGGGACTGTGGAAGGCTCACACACACATACGCACACATGCGCACACACACACACACACTCTCCAAGCCTCAGCCTCTGGCCAGGATCACCACAAGTCTGCCACCAACAGCAGCTGTGTGATAGAAGAAGGTGTGTGTGGAGGAGGGTGGGAGGGGGAGGCTGCATTTCTGCACATACCTCAAAATAGCCTCTTCAGATTTTCTAATGGTTAAGGACCAATATTTGAAGCTTAGCACCGTTCTATTCTGAGCAGACATGAAACCCACCCTGGGGATTTCTCATGTAATGCTGGGCACAGTTTGGCCCAGAGCCTACTAGAGACCACAGGGCCCCAGGCATGTGTTGAAGATAAAGACAGGCTTGTCTTACCAGCTAATAGGTGGCCATACCCCTCTCCAAAGTCTGTCCAAGCCCTCCTAGTCATGACTCAGCAAAACTGGCTGTCTCCTGGGAGCCTGCTTTCTCCTGCAAGCCCAGATAGCAGCACAGGACTCTCTGCTGCCATGGGGAATGGGATTTGCTCCTTGCACAATGGCATTGCAGTTTGTATTTTCCTGGCAGTAAGAGAGGCAGGTCTGTCTTTACCTGTTGGCAACCAAGCAAGTAGTAGAGGCTGAGGCTTTCACAGATGTCCCACTGGGTCAATAACCCTTAAACATTGCAACCAGCCACCAAAATAGATATATCCATGTTTCTAGTGTGCATTATCTCATCAGGTGTCTCATGAATTTTAGCTCTCCTTCTCCAGCCCTCATCTTCGTACTATGCCACAAGCCTCATTTGATAGGTGTTACTGCTGTAATAAGCCTTGCAAATCCCAGAGGACATCTCAGCCAGTACTGAATGGTGGACTGGAATGGAAATTACATATGAGTGCCTGACCTGTTGAGGCAACATAATTCTCATACTGGCCACCAAACCTTCTTCAGTAGAGCAAATACTGTGCCTTTGGACTGCAACTATTGATGAGTATTTCAAGGAAGGAAATAAGCACTGTTGCATGCTCAGGGAAAGCAGGAAGGAGGAAGGGAAACTGGTAGTTTCCACAATAAAATGACACATTAATTTTAAACTTCAAAATCTTTGGGGCAGATTTTGTTCCTAGAAAGTGCATAAAATGGGCATTTATTTTGAGTATGCCAATGGCTGCCGACAAAGATGTTCTAAATTATGCAGAGATCAGGAATATTAGTCTTTTTATAAATGTTCGTGATTAGAATTACTTTTATTGCAGTAATTCTTACAGAACTCATGTTAACCAAACCAATGGTGTATTAAAAATCAGTTAAATATGAAATTATCTTTACCAGAACTGTGTGTGGCTGGGAATGCTGTATTTCCATAGGCAAAGGCTAAAACGCATGTTTTGTCTTTATTTACTGCTATTTTACACCAGAATGAAAACGACAAACTGACGGAGGATTTGGTATCTGGAAGCATATCACCATCTAGCGATGGAGCCCAGAAGTGACTGTGAATCAGAGCTCTGTGTGTGCAGTTTTAACAGGTGAGATAAAGAAAGCAAGTTCATAATGGCTGCACACAAAACGTGTTCACACAAGGACACAACACATATAACTACCAGGTGATGATTTCAATCCTTCCTCAGACATTGGCTTTGTCTCCTACAGGACTGACAAATCCCTCAGAGAAGTCATTATATGGTGCTGGATGAATAGGTGTTGCCCTCTACACCAGAGCTTTGGTGATTCTGCAGAAGCTGCTCTGCGTGTTATAGACAACTATTTTTCTGCGTGACAGTGCATGGGGGTGCTAAAGTGCAATTCAACATCCAGGCAGCTGCAGAACAGTTTTGTTTCCCAGCTGAAACAGGGAAACCATCACAGAAACTCACAGGAGATTACAGGTGGTACAGTATGAAGACTGGTGGCATGCAAAGGCAGGGGGGTGTCTTGCCCCACTGTGAGTACTCCCAGTTTACTAGTGACTTGGGAAGGTCACAAAACAGAAACCTCAGCTACAACTAGGAAGAATTCAAAGACCAAAGCCAACTTCTAGATCTCCTCCCATCAGTCCTTCCCTGGACTTCCCTAGATTCATTTCCCTAAGCTAAAGGGACCTGCTCTTGTTTTAGAAAGACCAGCAAGTGATGGGGACAAGCTTCTGAGCCCCTTGCAGGATGCTAGAACCTCTCCTTACAGCTGTTTTCCTGGGTAACAGGTTGCAACTGAGCCACAGCAGAGCCACAGCATCCCAATGCCTCCTCCAGGCTTTCCAGTACCTCCTCACTGAGTGCCCTCCCCACTGGTAGTCAGTGGCCAGGTTTGCCCACATGGCACACAGGCTGTGTCCAACACTGGTGCCTCTTGTAACTCACTTCCTTGTCCCTGAGAAGCAGTTGTGATAAATCTCTGTAGCACAGACCCTCCATCCTGTTTCCTTTGTTCGTTCAATTAGTTTTAGCTTTAACTATTTTTCTGATCATTATTGTCATCCTAAGTGTTTAGGTAATACAAGTCAAAAGAAGATGAGCACTTACTGACTGGTGCATGCCTGACCCACAGCAAAGCCAAAAGGCAACTTCATGCTGGTTCCCACCATATGTCAGCCCAAACAAGAACCACCTCCACACTTGTCCTATGGTGTTCAGACTTCTAAAACTGAGCTCTGCCCTCTCCCATCTGCAGCTGCCTCACTCTGTGCTGATGGACACATCAATCAGAATTTCTGGGACTTCCTAAGACCCCGTTTCCTACTCGATGGCTCCTGACTGCCACAGGATCCCTGCTGGGACACAGGAGGTGCATGCGGGCCAGCAAACCCCTCCAGAACAAGGTATCTTCTCTAAGTACTGCTAGAGGTAATGGTTTCTTTTTGTTTGTCTAAAATATTCAGTGCAAAGTCCTTCTCCAGAGCCAGTTTCCTAATGAACCACAAAGCCCCACACTGGCTTTTATGCCAGCACAACATCCACTTCCCAGCAAACCCCTCTTACCTGAGAGTGCCGTGGGTGCCAAATCTGTTCACCTGTGCATGAGGAGACCAGGCAGAGGAACAGCAAAATCCTTCAGTGAAAGCCTGCTGGGGGAGTCCTCTCCAGTGGGACCCCAGAGCTGTGCTTAGCTCCTTGGGACCCTGCCTGTGGAGGCACGGGGGGACTTAATGGCTTTTATTCCTCCTGGCTGTCGCTCTCACAGCTCTCCACAGCAGCACCGTGGGAGCTGTGGGATGCAGGAGTGATTGCTGGCAGAGCCCATCCTCATTAGTTTTCCCACTCCCACAGCTGGCTGGAGCCACAGCCCACCCTGTGCCTTTTCAGGGTGACAGCAGGGGGAAGCAAAGGGCCCCACACAATTGTGACTGTACTGGGGGAAGAAAAAAAAAATAAACGAAATGTCTTTCACTAAGTCTTCTATTTTAGGGGAAAAAATTTTTACATTTATTCACGAATCAGTATTGAGCAGTAAGTACTTAGTTTGTTCTTCGTGCAATTCGCCCCCTTCCCTATTGATGCAAATGATAGAGCTCTTGGCAAACGTATATCACCTTACTGTTGGCTCGTTTATATGTCTTGTGTCACACTAGCAGAGGTCCATTCCTTAGGTGGTTACTTGCTAGGTTGCCTTCCCATGAACAAGTGACAATTTGATATCTCAGGTCTAATTTTAGGTATTGATAATTTTCCAGAAAACCCTCGTTTCTGTATGAGAAAAACTGGGTTTGAGGGAGAGCACCTCTGTGGGAAGAGTGACAACATTAATAAAGATTGATGTGTATTTTGAATCCTTTCGGAAAGGCTCCACAAGAAAGAAAAGGTTACCTGCTGCATTAGTCATTGGCAAGGAGCTAGCAAAGTGCCTGCTCTGGCTCAAGAGGAACAATTCTGTCTTCAGCTTTGCACAGTTCATCACCAGTATAACTCACAGCGCTAAGTGTTTTGCATTAAGAAAAGGGCATCCACACTGGGGTCAGCCAAGGGAAGGAAAATGATGGTATTTGAAGGCTAACTGTGGTTGCTGCTGGATCAGCATGTGCACAAACACAAGCACACACTGGTTCTTATACTCTCCATGCTTGTCCCTGCTGCATGGTCACATGTGCTGGGAAAAGCATTGATCCCATAGTGATGTGACTGCCTGATTCCCACAGCCTCACAGAGTGACAGAGATGAAACACTGAGCTCTTCTCCATTGCTTCATCTCCTGGATGCTCCTATTCTGAGCACAGGTAAGACTAGGAGGCAGAGAAGCTTCTACTGTGCCTGCAGCACTGCTTGCCCCATGCCTGCTCAGCCCGAATTAAGGTTTTAACATATAAAATGTAGTGCAAGCAAAACCTTTGTTTTCCCCGTTTGGCTGTTTAGGTCACATCTTTCACATACATTGAGAAGCCTCAGAGAGAACTGTGTGGCTCAAGGAGACCCACTGCAGGTCATAGCACTGTGGAAAGACCACCAAATATTGTTAGATCTTTTTGATAAAATGGTGAGAAGTATCAACACTGAAAGCAATGGATCAAAAAAGAGGTCCAGCCTCCCAAACCTACAGCTTGGCACTTTCATGAACTGTCAGCTCCATGTGAAGAGGTAGCAGCAACTCCTAGGAAGTGCAGAATGTGGGGTAGCAGCAAAAGCAGAATGAGGTACAATCCCAACTAAAACTGAATCTGCAGCTATAAAGCAAGATAATTTCAGAGAGAAAAAGATGAATTTTGCTGGTGTGTCTTCAGTTCCAAGGCTGAAAACCTGGAAAATTTTGGTTGACAAAGTTTGGCAGTGCAGCAAAAGGTGAGAGTATGATTTTTTCCATTGCACTGAAGGAAGGCTTTATTTGAGCACTTAAAGAGGGACCCCAGCTCCTCTGTATAGTCAATGAAGATAGCAAGGAGACACTTCTGAAGACTGTGGTGCTCTCCACTGGTGCTGGAAGAGACACAGCAGGACCAGACTGATACACTCTGACTGAATGGCCAAACAGGACAGCTTGGCTTTCTGTACTTCTAGTTCTTCTTTCTTACGGTGTAATAAAGCTCCTTCTTCCAGCAGAGAAAGCTGCTTTTCCCATGGGTGTTCCCAGGCCAGTGCCTGGCATGAGACATCAACAAGGATTTCAGTTATCTCCAGTATCACTACCCTCTTTTGATGTGCTTTTTCTCACCCTCAAAAAAATTCTAAGGCAAGTGTTGGGTTGCCCTGTGCCTGATGAAGTGATGCCACAGGGTTACACATTCTAAGCTGTGGCCTTCCAGTTAGTGTGCTGATATCCTTGTGACTGCTGAAGTCCTGGGCTGAGCTGAGCAAAGGGACTCTGTAGCACTGCCACCAAAAGCACAAACCAGGACATGCCCTCCTCAAACACAGCACCCTCTCAGACCAAAAGGGACTTTTACATGCCCACATAACATGTATTTGGGATTCTTTCACCAGGTGCCTTTTTGGAAGCTGTTGCACCTCACCATGGATTTTCCTGGCTACTTAATCGTTAGTGTGGAGAGGGAAAGGGCTATGCAGAGATGCTGTCTTTCCAGTTTGTGTTTATTTTCAGCTTATTTTTCCCCCTCCATATAGGATGAGCACTTTCGCCACAGGGCCTTCTCCTAACTTGATGACTCAGAAGTCAAAATCATTTCTACGTTATTTTGTTCTTTTCAAATTGGAAGAGCCTGACTGTTTTCTTAAATGCTGTAATCAGGAATGTTATATTTTCTTGTATAAATTATCCTTGTATATTGAAATATAAACAGCCCATGGGAAAGGAATTCAGTGTATGTTTCATTTCTTCCACTGTTCAAGGCAAAAAATATGTACTTATCTGCTGAGAAATACTCTGCTTGTGCAGCAGAAACCAATCATAAATACCAACTTACCAGCATTTTAATAACTGCCTGTAGGGATCCCAGAAATTATAACATTCAATCATTACAAGAAGATCATGGCAAAAAATAACAGGGACAAAGAGTTTCTGTGGCAAGTGCAGACGGTGTTGACAGTGACACTTTAAACTACCATTAAACTTCTTGATTCTGGTGTTTCTGAAGGAAAATTTTAGGCATCCTTAGGAAGATAATGGGACTAGAAGTGCTATCAGTGCAGCAAGTCACTGTGTGCCCAGTCCAAAGTCCCCTGGTCTCTGAGAGCAAGGAGACAACCATCTCCATCCCCTGGAATGGTCTCGAAGCTGCAGAGCTCAGTGCAGGGCAGATGCTGTGAAACACTTTAGCCTACCAACACACACAAGTTGAGACCAGGTCCTTTCCTCTCGCATCACTGAGACAATGCTTTGTGTGGCTATCACAATAAATTACAGAGCCAGGTGAAGCCTGCTGTTGTGGATGTTTCAGTTCCATGGCTTCTTCCCACAAGACTGTCTTGGGGAAGGGATGTTTATGTGCCAGACTCCATGGCAGTTTACTTGGCAATGCCCAAGAGGTAAGATAGAAAATGAGAAAATATTAGACTGTCTGCTTCATGCTTCTCCTTACTCAGGATAATTTATCATAATGTAATCAAGGCCTAAGGAATAGAGAGACAAAAGGCAAACTGTACTGGATAACCTATTGGGAGAATAACTTTATTAAAGTCTAGTACAGGATAAGTGCTCGTGGTGCAGCTTTCATTTAGTCAGGTTATTTAGAAGGTCTCATTTTCTACTTCAAATATTCATCACACAAGCAGAATAGGATGAGATTTTCCTTGCTTCTGTAGGAAAGATTGCAAGATACAAAGGCATCAGCTGTGGCTTGGGACACCTGTGAGCCTCCAGCCCCAGATGCTGGAGGATAATCCTGGGAAAGTAATAGAAGTTGTTCCCTGGGTCCATAGCCATTGTCCGTCCAAGGCAGAGTAATGGGCCAGATGTCCTCACCTCGTTTACTTGTACCTCTGAGCCTCCAATTACTCTATCAAATTCAGTCAAAATGAACAAATAGATACACAAGTTATTAGAGGCAACAACCAGACAGCAGAACCAAAAGCAATGAATACATGTGATATGTTTCCATAGGAAGCCAGGCTAAAGCAAAACACTAGTGTTTGAAAATGAAATTACTTCTTTAGGAATGTTTGCTGATTTCCTATAGGGGGGAAAACAAGCCTTATTTAATTTTTATTGAATGGTATTCTTCAGAGATTGTCTTCCACTGCTAATTCAGGAGGTCAACCTGTGTGTTGTTCTGTGTAAAGAAAATTTTCCTTCAAATAATAAATACATTTCTTTAAAAAAATCCAGTCCTCTTTTCCCCTGCTTACCCACCAAAGTAACAAAATGCCCAAATTATTGTGAGCAAAATTTACCCACAAGCCCAGAATATTAACTGAGAAATTCCAGTGCTCTTGAAACTTACAATAAGAGAAAGTGGAATTACTAAAAGTATAAAAGCCAAAGCCCCCGTTGAGGTCCATGTATTCTCTGTTTATGCTACTACAGAGTGTGCTAGACAAATGTATAGGGTTTGCAAAATGCTTTGGGAATCCCTGAAAAATGAAGTGGGGAGAAAAAAAGATTAGCTCCTCACACAAGGGCATAATAAAGCTACTGAACATTTCTGTCTTAATTGTGCTTCATACTAGAGTATAAGGGAGAGTTACCTCAGCTGAATAAAATGCTAAATCTCCTGGCAGCAAAATGCCTCCTTTAATATAACAGCAGGAATAAACCTCTCACTTATAAAATACAGTTGACAAAAAAAGGCTAATAACTCATAAAGGTTTTACATACAATAGAAAAAAAAAAGCCTGTAGAGTTACTATGCATGAAATATAATAATCTAAATCAGCAGTTTAATTTGCATTTCTGCATATCAGACTTAATATTCCCATTGCATACAGCCATAATAAAAAGTGCTGTTTCATTGACCACAGAAGATAACATTGTGTGGTTTTATTTTTTTATTTCATTTTCTCACTCCCAAAATATGCCTTTTGCCACCTGTCAGTGCATTTGTCCTCCTCAGCGGGAGGATAGTAAAGGATACTTGACACAGTATCTGGTCAACAGAATTGAAAATTTTAACCTTCAAAAAGGGGGGACCACAATTCCTACTTGGAGCCTTCTACTCATAGAAAACAGAACCATATGTTTACTGTAGAGTAATTATGGTCAATGATAATGAGAAAAAGCAAGAATACCACAGAACACACAAATGAGTTAGGATGGAGTTCAATGCAATATTGACATGTGTGGAGTGAAGAGTCTTCATTGGAGTTGCCTGATTCTGTGATTTGT